TCAAAGCTTTAGACATCTGATTAGAATGTCGAACCTCGCGTGTTGCATCATCCACCGTTACGGACTGGCTAATGACGGCTAATGGACCAGAAATAGCTATTCCAATCTCCCTTCTCTGCCTAAAATAATAGCGGCTGTGCGGCTGTTGGCGGGGCTCGAGAATGAGTCACAGGGCAGAGCGGAACGAGTGAGTTCCGTTACGGATCAGTGAACAGTCATCATCGAGTATTAACCCCAACGCCTACCCTAACCACAACGCTAATCCCCTATCCCCAACCCTCCTAACCCTAACCTTAAACATACCTACATTAATCCTAGCCCCCCGAATCCTCATACTGGCTCCAGCAACAACCTCCTCCCCGCGAAATATAGCTGAGGTACACTTGTAATACGGGGAGTTACTTGTAACCGTGCTCAACCCATATTTGGTTCACTGCAACCACAACTACCCACCACCGTGCCAAGTGTACTTTAGTGACTATTGCGTTAATTCATTTATACGAACTCGTGCGTCATGTATTCTGAGTTTTCTTCCCACACACTCCCTATTCTCCTGATATACAGTGTCATGACTAAAATATATGGGTGTGGATACATCGCTTGACTAAGTAAAACCCACATCTTCACGTAGCACTCACGTAGCCCAAGAACAATACTTCAGTGGCACAATCTATCAGCGAATGCACTTGACGTCACGATTGTTATATAACGAGGCTTCAGAGGCTGACCTTCAGTACAAAGAATGATAGCGTCAGTCGGAGGCCTGCCTGGCTTAGCCTTTTAGGGTGTGTTGTGGGCTTGCATGCGGGCTTCTGATAATGCTGAAGCGGTATGAGCAGGGTGAAGGTAGGCTTAGGCCGAAGTACTATTCCTCCTCCAAGAAGTATGTCCACTTTAAGTCAAGCAGAGGTTAAACGTCATAAAGCACCCATTTGACGCATGTACCTAAAGGTTTGGTCCGCTTTCTCCATCGTGCCTACAACGCAGCATAGCATGGAGCACGCGTTAGGCAACTAAGTCCATATTCACAAACCACCTAACAATTCAACTGAAGGAATTCCTAGTCTCTAAAGAACAGTAGTCACTTACTACGCATCTGATATTGGCTTATGAGTTACACTCTTGTTGATCCATCGAATTCAAGTGCAGTGTGAAGGCTGCCGCTATGTTAGTATCATAAATAATAGAAATAGTTATATTCTACGACGATATCCACGTTAGACTTGAAAAGTTAAGTCGGCAAATACATGTTTTCGATAATGAATCATTAGGTCTACACAGTTATATAGATAATGAAACTAGGAGGTTTTGTCAGAGTACACGGAGTTCTATGCTTGCACATCTCCGAGTAGAATGTAAGGAGGCCTATTAGGTGGCTAACCAAAAAAGGGCAGGAGTTTCCTTGGTAGTGGCGGAACAAAACTCCACATTTCCAGATTTGTCGACAGCGATTCGAGCTCGATCCGAGCTCGATTTGAGCACGGTTAGGGTAAGGGTTAGGGGTTAGGATTAGGGTTATGGTTAGGGTCAGAGGTTAGGGTTAGGGTAAGGGTAATGGTAAGGGTTAGGGGTTAGGGTTAGGGTAAGGGTAATGGTAAGGGTTAGGGTTAGGGGTTAGGGTTGGGGTAAGGGTAAGAGTAAGGGTTAGGGTTAGAATAAGGGTTAGGGTTAGCCTAAGGGTTAGTGTTAGGTTTAGTGTAGGATAGTGATATCTTATTAAAAAGCCCGAAGTTTCCGCTTAATATTACAAAAAGTCCTCAAAAAATCCATGATTACTGGGTTTTGGGCAATT